ATGGGGAGCAAAAAAGAAGATGGTGTAGAGAAGAAAAAAATTTTTGGGGATGCATTGCAGAGACTCGAGTGAAGACCGCTATCAACTAATGTCTTGTTGAATTTGATTCTAATTTTTTTTGCAGTAGGGTTAACACTTAGTGGGTAAATGGTAACTCAGTTGGGTTACTTAATGGGTCTGTAATGAGCCATAAATTTTGGGTTAGTCAAATTATAATAAAAAGAATAATGGAAAGCTCAATTGCCTTTTTTTTTTAACGGGTAATTGGTTTGGGGAGGGGCGACGGCGCAAATACCATACCCATCCCACCCCGAATCGGATCACTAAAATTAAATATCATACCTACCTCATTGCACCATCGATTTGGAGACAAAGAGAAAATCACAATGAGTGAAAAACAGTTAGACTTCAATTTGTGCAGAGAGTTAAAGATAGAAAATTGAGAGAGTGCCTTTGCGAAGGCAAATAAAATACACAGCATAATTTTGTATTCCTCTTCTTCTCTTGTTGATATAGTGAAAAATTGGTGCGGGTTTGTGGGTGTAGGCAGGATTGTTGAATCATATAAATTCTTGTGTCGTACTTGTACTTATTTTTGCCATTTTTTTTACCTTAGGGCCTGTTTGATTGCGTAGATGGAATTTGGATGGAAAGAAAATGAATTTCAGGGAATTGAATTAGTTAGAAATTGTTTTTCAGGGAATTGTAAATTATTGTGTTTGATTGGTATAATTTTCCACGTGAAAAATGTTGAAGTAAAAGTATTTTTTGGTGTTCGTTTAGCTTTGTTTTACATGAAAATTGTCAATTTAAGGGATATCTACTTCTACCATTGTTCCTAGAATTTGTTTTCATTGCCAACAAAAAAAAAGGAAAAAAAGATAAAAAAAAATCATCTATATTTTGGTGTTCGTTTGGCTTTATTTTACATGAAAATTATCAATTTCAGGGATATTCTCTTTTACAATTGTTTCTAAAATTTGTTCCCATTGCCAACAATTAAAAAAAAAGGTGGAAAACCAAAAACCACCTATCCCCTTAGGAAAATAAAAGGTGAAAAATCACGCTTTAAGGTGTTGTACCTAGAAATTCATGGAAAATCAATTCCCTGAAAAATTTTGTCAATCAGACAAGCCAAAAGTGAAGTTGGAATTCGAGTTCCAAGTTCTATGAAAAATTTCGTGCAATCAAACGGGGCCTTAAATTATTTTGCGTCTCACTGATCTTGACGAATTAGCAGCTTCTAATTCCTAACAAATGAATGATCATAATCATGAAGAAAACTTCACCATTGTGTCTTGCTTTTAAATATTCGTGGTTAACTTTAACGAAAATTTTGTAGTGGAAGTTTTCAAATCTTTGATTCATGTTGCACTTTACTCCCTAGTCTTCAAAAGTGAATAGTTACATTGCTAACATTTCATCTTGATTGCACTTAAATCTCGTTACAATTTTAAACTAACAAGTAACAAAAAAGAAAAAGAAAAATGCATTTTCTTCTCCAAACCTTTCATTTTGATTGCTCGAGTGAGCATTGCCTATGAAAGAAGACGGGACAATTAAAAAAGGAAACTGGTCAATAGAGACAAATATCATTCATTAAGTAACGCGAACATTAAGTTCTATTAAATTGTTTGCATTCATTTTCTGTTTTATATTAGTGAAGTTATTTTACAGATGATAGCATCCCAGTTTCATTAGAAAGTAAATAATTAGCGGTCTTTTTCAAGTAAGGAGCTTTCTTTGAGAAACTTGGACAATGACTCATACTTTAGGAGTCTGTGGTCATGATTCTTTGAAAGCTAGTGCATAATTCTAATATATTAGTTTTGTTACTACAAAATGCTAACACATTCTTTTCTTCTATATATAGCCTTGATAGGAGCAATCTTTCCATTTCTTGCTTCATCCTTTGAAACGAGTTACGTTTACAATTTTCCGGTCATGCTTTATATGGGGGCCTTTTAATTTTTTATGCTTGACGTCTAATTTTCCTATGAACACCATTCATTTCATGTCTAATTTCACCACGCACGAGTGGATTATGTTTTTGGCTATGATAGCACGGCAAACTTGCTTGGGTGAAGCAGCCGTGCTGGTTGTATAAATGGCAAGTCCTTGGATGGCCTAGATATTGAGTTGGCTCATGTCTGTGACTTGACTAAGGGCAATTCTAACCTTAACATCAAATCACAAATTTTCACCAAATTTCATCATTTTTACCAAATATACTACTCCAACTCAACACCAAATCTTGCACAATTTTACACCAAGTGTGATAAACGTCAATTTTTTTGTCCTTTTTATGTGTGACCAAGTGATATCAAGGATATCTTATGTTATTTTACATTATACATAAATTTTTATTCATAATTAAGTAGTTTTTTTTAATTGTTATTATTAAGTTTTAATCGGGTAACCAATACTTGAACATTTGTGAGATTACTATATGAATTTCGATAATTAAATTACGATAAGTCGACTTTGCTGTGCCATAATTTTGAGATTCACAATGTACAATATTGTTTTCAATAACATGATTTAATATTTTTTTAGTTGTGGTATTTTTATTAATTGTACTATTTTTAAAATATATTAAATAATTTAATATCTTCATAAACAAAACGTAATTATGTATGTAGCAATTTATGTAGTAGCAAATCGAATAAATAAATAATTTTTCAACTACAGAAATTGTTAAGAATAAAGGAAATGAAGAAAATGATTAGACACTGTTCATTTGATGCAACTTTTGGTGTAATGGATTGAAGATGAATTTTAGTTTGGTGAAAGATTAGAGATGGTCTAAGGGCTTCTCCAACCCATCCTCATTGCAACACTATTCATTTGTACCATTTTATACCATAATAGTTAAATACCTTTTTACCATTCTCTTCCACTTTGTACCAATTTTTGTTTAGGGTATATTTGTCCATTTGTTATAAAATAAATTTTAATTCTAAATTATTATTATTATTATTATTATTAATCATTTAATCAATAATAATTAGTCGTGAATATTATTTCGATTTTGTAATATCATAATATTGCAATTCGAAACTTATTACAAAAATTATTATGATTTAATATTTTCTCAGTTGTTGTATTATTTATATTAGTCGTACTACATTTTTTTAATAAATGAATGAATTTAATATTTTTGTTAACGAAACGTAATTATTTATATAATAATTTATGTAGTAATAAAATAAATAAATAATTTATGAGATAAAAAAATTATTAAGAAATAAAAAAAAATGAAGAAAATTATTAAACACTACTCATTTGATGCAACTTTTGATTTAATGGATTGAAGATGATATTCTGTTTGGTGCAAAATGACACAAATTTTGATGTAGGGTCAAAGATAGTGCAAGGTATTGCAGTGTACAGAGGAGGTTACATTGGTAATGACTTCAATAAATTCCCTTAATTCTGCGTAGTCTTCTCTTACATGGACGTGGGCTCCCTTAATTCGAAATTCCCTGAAGGTCTTCCAGAAGACTGCACTGTGAAATATAATTTGTTAATTAGTTACAGCATTATATGCAGTCTTTTGATGATATTGATTATTTTTGCTCTCAAAATAATCTAATCTACTTCAAGCTTTTCTGATGGAGAATATTGAATGGAATGCTATTGTATTATAAATATTCTTGCTCGTTAAAATTAGGTAATTAGGCCTTATTCCACCCCTATTTTTTTTTACTAATTAGGTCATTAATACTTATATTAGAAAATCAGTTATTTTAAGGAAGAATAAAGCTATTTAATACTAATGGTGCTCCAACAGTAGTTGATTATGTGCGCTAGTTGATAGACCCAATAATCTCAAGGAATATGAAACATAATAAATTAGCTCTATCATTCGATGTTACCTAGTGCTTGTTTGGTAGGGATTTTGATAATTGATTTTTTGACCGTTATAGATAAAGTGGGTCCTACCTGTGAGAGAAGAATTCAAAAATGACGGCTGTAATATTGAAATAACAATAAAAAAATTGATTTTAATTGACTTTTTAACTGTACCAAACAAGCTCCTAATATGATCTAAAAAGAGTAAAGATATAACGCAACTGATGCTAAATTATATTATTCTTTAAGAAATTATTTAATTTAAATACCCTACCTTTAGTGTGTGACAGGTAATGCTTCCATTATGAATGGGAATAACCTCTCAAGTACTATTGCAATGCAACCTCTATTGTGTGGTGTGAAGGCGCTTCACTTATTATTCAATTCCATATCTAACTTATGATGATAAGTAAATGAAACATTTAAACTATGAAACATTTAAACTAACTTAATACCGTCCTAACTCCTAACAGCTACATATGGAAAATGACAATTAATAAAATAAAGTATTTGTAATTTACAAATTCTGTGCTAACTAACATATATATATATATATATATGACAATCAATAAAATAAAGTATTTGTAATTTTACAAATTCATCAGGACCATCATCCTGAATTAAATGAAAGTTTGGAGATGATTTGTCTATTTAATTTTAACGGGGATGAAATTGAGATAGAGTGAAAAGGTTAGGGACATATAGTGTAATAGTCCCTTTAAGTCTTTTGAATCCACCATCGTTTGGCCCCCATTCATTCCAAATTTTAATGGTTGGAATAGTGATTTTTTTGAAAATTGTATGGTTGAAAAAGAATGGAAAATTTTCGATTTATGTGTAATATTATTTTATGAAAGATTGTGTGATTAAAAATAAAAGAGAGAAAATAAATAAGAAAGGGAATGGCGACAAACGGGGGCTAATAATTCCTGCGTATTTAACGTAAACAGATTAATTTGGGGCTTTAGGTGTAAACGTCTCCCATAAACCCTATTTCATTAAGTCCATCTCAGATTGCTGTACAGGCAAGCACCTTTATGGTCGTTTCGCTAAATTGAAGTTAATTTATCTTCCTTTTTTTAAAATTTATTTAAATAATGATGTAAGAAATTTGTCATTCCCTTTCTAAAGGTCTTTTATGGGGTTCATGTCCTTATTTTCCTGCTTTCAAATTTATGTCTGCAAGATGTTTGTTAAAATTCCGGTTTGGCTAATAAGTCTCAAACGTTCGCAAACTGTCCTGATCTGATTGAAATATGAAGTGTGGGTTAAATTATATTCCTTGTGAAGTGCTTGTTTTATGGTTAATTAGATTTTTATGGGCTTTAATTCTTATTACTCCACCATGTTGCTATTACAATTGCTCAATAAATAATTTAAGTTGCAATTTTTTTTTTTCTTTCATTTGATGGATTCTTCCTAACTAGGAATTATTGATTAGCTCGTGAGCTAGAGCGGAAATGGAATTTTGCCCGACTTGTGGGAATATGCTACTGTATGAGCTACCTAATACCGGGCACTCTGCCAGATTTTTCTGTCCAACATGTCCATATGTGTGTCAGATAGAAAAGAGGGTAATTCTAATAATCTTATGCTAAATTGTCTGTGGTTCACTCCTTTTGCAATTACTCATATATTGTGTTCTATTTCAACAGGTAAAGATAAAGAGACATATGCGCTTGGTTAAGAAAGCAGTAGATCCCATCTTTTCTGAAAATGATCAGCAGAATTTACCCACAACTGATAGTAAGTTTCTAACCCTTTTTTTTTCCCAATCTTGGAAGTGAAGAGTTTCGGGGAATGGATCTGCTGATGGTAATGACGTGATCTGCACTTTTAGCGACTGTTTTTTTTCAAAGTAATATTGCTTTGTGTAGTCTCTTGAAATTAGTTCGTTAATGATGGAAGTACCTTTTTTCTTTGAAGACCGCAGGGGATTGGGCCTAGTTCAACATAGACTGAAATTACCTTCTGTGGTGTTGAGTTATGAGTAAAAATCAATAGCAAAAAGGTTTGACAAATCAAATTGACACAATGTTTAGCTATGTAGCACGGACACTCTAACTAGGGTAGTGTGTCTGTGTCCGACGCGTGTCGATACCGACACTCTTCAGACACTTTACAATAATCACTTTCTTTCTTACTATAGCTATTATATATTTTTAACTCAAAGTTATTAGTAAATAATAAATAAATACTCATATTTAAAAGATTTCAACAAAAAAAAATCAATAATAAGTATAAAACTAATTTTAAATTATATAAATGAAGAATTTTAAAAAATTTAATGAACGTGTCGACGACATATCGTGTCGGTACTTTTTTTAAAATCACAATTCGACGTATCTGACACGTATCGTGTCGGACACACGTGTTCGTGTCGGTGCATCATAAATATTTAGGGTATCATTGGTACTTAGTACTAGATAAGATTATACAAGGGTTAAATCAATCAATGTTCACAATAGTTACTTACCCAAGTTCAAAATTTACTCAATAGTCACCCTATCTTTCAATTGATTTCCCGTCCCCCATCCATTAGGAAAATGATTCCAATCGTTGACGGAGAATCCCATGTAGCAATTTGATGGCGTGAAATGAGTCCAACTTGATAAAGTCACACACAAAAGAACATGACTTTCCTTTCGTTTTATAAAGACCTGTTGTAAAATGAAGGGGAAGTCACATTTTGCTGGGTACTAATTGGCTGATTTTGATAGATTTCATGCTGTCAACTTGCCACAATGGATTTCTATTTGTCATGTGGAATTTCTGTTAACAATTGGAACCGTTTTCTTAACGGATACTGTACAGGTAATTAATTGAGAAATGGGCTAGTATCGAGTAGTCATTAAAAGTTGGTTGAGTAAGTAGAGACCTGGTAAAAGTTTAGTGGTCATTGATTGATTTAACCCACGAGAAAACATAATAAACAAGAATTTCTTCCTTTTTCCATAAACATAGGGGGCCATTTCTGCCAATCAAGATGTTGTTTTTGACATCTAAGATGACAAGAAAGTCTAAACTGTCTATAGTTTTCATCCCATGCGTTGCTCAGTTCACATTTTTGAGCTATTTTGGGAATTTTCCTCTAGCTCGTTACTCTCTCCATACTGAACCTACAATGTAATCAAATTTGCGATCATTTCTCTATACCTAAATGTGATGGACTTGTGCAGACAATGAAGATTTAATTATCCAAAATATTTAAGGTTTCATGTCTACATTCACAGTCGCAATTCCACAGTAGAAGGTCGAACCTAGTTGTGAATGTACAGCTAAGATAATAAAACAGATGTACTGGCGAGCAATTTCATCAAGTGTCTAATTTAGAAAAATCTACTGGTCTTTTTAGTTTACTTGGTATTTGGCACTGGACATGGTGTGTACTGCTTTCCCGCGCTGATGCATTAAATTACTGACGTTGGAATTTAGCAAATAATATATTATTATTCTTGATCCTGCTTCGGGTAGATTTGGTCCATTTTGAGGTTACTGAGTTCATTTTGTGTGCAGCAACATGTCCTGCATGCAACTATGGGAAAGCTGCTTTCTACCAAGTGCAGATTCGGTCGGCAGATGAACCAATGACAACATTTTACATATGCAAGAGGGAGACTTGCCGAAATCATTGGCGTGAGGATTAGATATTTTCCTTTGCTTGCATATAGGTTCTTGGTTCAATTTGATTTATTTGGTTTGGTTCTATGAAAATTTGTTCGAATAAACCTTTTGCTATGTAATCTGGTATAGACCAGTTCGTTTAAATTCATCAGTTGTCCGAATACTATTAGAGAGAGAACGATTTGTTTCTTGAATTATGAATAAAATACTACAGGAGCACACTAACCATTTACATTCTTTTATGGTGTTGGCTCATATAGTGTTCTAGTGAATATAATCAGGGGCGGAGCCATGTATGGTTGGCCTGCACTCAACTTTGGAAGAAGAAAAGTTGGCCATGCAAGTTGGATATACTCTATGTTGGATATCCATGCACATTGGCCATAAAAATTGGAAAACCTGCACTTTGGGAGGAAAATTGGAAAAAATGTTTGTCTTAATAAAAAATTTATGCATACATTGAAATTTTGCCCGCACTGAAAAAAATTCTGGCTTCGCCCCTGAATATAATATTCGTTATAGTGACCAATAAAAAGTGAATAACACTCAACACAATGAATATTATATGTTTCAAAAAAAGAATATTTATTTTAAAAGTATTTAAATATCTATTAAAAGTAAACTAAAATGAGCAAGCAAGGTTACTATGAACATAAAACTGATCACAAACTTCAAATGATGTAAATTCTCGAACAAAATATCAACTTTTGCTCGATTTATTAAGGATATTTTCTTGCAATGTATATGGTAGCCGTCTAGATAATGTCTAACATCTGAATACGAGTCACTCAACTAGCGTTAATACGAGTGATTTAATTATTTTTAACTTCAGATTATAATGTATTTGAAATTTATATAAGTTCTTGTAACTAAACTTTTAAGCTTAGCCGAGCATGCGCTCAACGAAACACCTCCAATTTTCCACGAGTCAGAAGGGAAAAGAAGTAAAGGCCAAACATGGAGAAGCGCATTATCAACAAAACGCCATTCATTTTAAGTAAATCTACTAATAGTCTTCAACATCCAAAATTATTAATTATTGTGGGTGTTTTTATTTTTTATTTTTTTTTTATTTTAACACTGAAATTGAAGAGCAGAAATGCAGAATGCATAGAAGAAAATTTCTAATAAAATTGCTGAGTGGTGTGTATCCCACATCAAAAGTTGGAACAATTCTGACTTCTAATGAACAATGTTCTCCCATCCCTGCGGTTATCTTGATGCTAATTAGTACGATCCACATATAATTAGCTCAAATTTCTCCTAGTATCTTCAGAATTAGATTATCTTCTGTACTGTACTGTATCTGAAGTTACAAAGCTAAAAAACGATCACAGACAACTAACTTGAATTCTGTTGGTTTTCGCTTTGTTTCGACTTCTTCGTACCTTCTTCAAATTCCGCTTTGTTGGCAAGTTCATTTATGGCTTCTACGCCCTTTTCTATTCTTGCAGCAATTTCTATCAGCAATGTAGAAATGGAAACTATTGGAACTATCTCCATGACACGTACCATGGTAGTACTACTTTTATTTCCCCCTCCTGTGCCATTTTTAGAGTCTCTAATAATTGGTTGTTTCGATAAGGACTTAAGCACGCCTTGCAGTTCTTGTACTGCATCGTTCATCTCGTTTACCATGAGATCAATCTTTGTCGATTTTGTCATTGTATTCATAATAACCGCCATTTCTTTTAACACGTCCGAGGAACTAGAGCTTAGTCCTATGCAATACTTGCTGAAATGCTTCTTTAAGATAACAGGTGCCTGCAAAAACACCGAAAACATGAATATTATGGACCAAAAAACTAATGCAGTGTTGGCATGTTTAGTAAGGCGTTTTGTACAAAAATGGACAGGACAGTATTATTATTAATTACCTCTGTGTCTGAGTTTGTGCTGACATTAAGAGTCTCAATGCAGTAAGCACATTTACGCAGTAACGCCCCGACTTTTAGGTACTCATTCCATGGATGTCGAAAGTTAAAGCGTCCATGTGCAGGCTCCCACCTAGCAAAATTAGCCTGTGGAGATGCAGAGTTTATACATAAGTAAAATACTCGAAAAGCAGAGAAAATTTTTTGAAGTTGTGACAGGAAATTTTCATATTAATGAGGAATATATATACCATGGCTTCTTCTGTAGCCTTTGAATTAAGCACACATTTGTAACCCTGTGATACTTTGTCTGAAGCTTCATCCTTGCTATTTACATTTTCATTGATTCCGAAGTATTCTACGACACATCCTGAGTTTTTACGAACAAAAGGTCTTATTAACTTCCGTTTTTAGTAAATGGACATGTTATAATCGTTGTTTATATGTGATTTATTTGGGCTTACCATTTAAGGAATCAGCAATTTTTTCCATGTTGTTTGTGATAAGATAGTGAAGTTCATTTCCTGCCCATACAGGACAGAAAATCATGGTTGTAAGGATGCAAAGGGAGGTCCCTATGGCAATTGTGGATAATCTATCATGAGCCAATTCGAACAATTCATCCACACGATAGCCTGATACTGACACAAGGCTAAATGTGAGGATGAAGATCATGGCACCATAGTCAAATCGCGCTTTTATCGTTGGAATGAATCGAGAGAAGGTTGCTGCAGCAGCTGCAAGAAAGAAAAATGAATTCTCAGCAACGGCGAACACTATAATATGCCTGTGGGAATTAAATCTGACAATAGATTGATTGGGAAAAAATTTCTGAAAAGGACCTAAAAAGTAGAAATTCGACCTACCTAAGAGGAAAACCGAGACTTCAATAATAATGGGTTTGAATTTTTCTCCCGACTGATTTGCAATCCAGTGAACTCCGAGTCCTAGTGCTCCGGCCAAGAAAGTTCCAATAGCCCTATTCACACATTTGCAGAGTGTAGCACCTGCATTATTAAGTAAGAGTGAGTTAAAATCTTGTCTATCGTCGTATTCGATACCGTCTAATATTGTGCACCAAAAATGTCCTAAAAGTATTATAATCTTGCACAAGGACCAAAACATTTTGAATACTTACCCACAGTGTATTCGAATACCACGACAACAGTCATAACAGCCCACATAGCATTCCCTCCGACTCCATCATACAAAGGCCGCATGTAATAGAAGAGTGAGACAATAGAAAGAGCCACCCCTACTTTAACTCCATGAATAGCTTTCTTAGGCTCTCTAACTGCTAAACTCCAAGCCTTTTGTAAAAACTTCCAAATTCTTGACATGAACCCCACTATTAAACCTCGTAATCCATTGCAAACTCGTATTTGAGACTTTGACTCAGACACTAAAACTTTAGCAGCAGTTTCATTCGGGACATTAATCCTCCATTCCAATCCTCCAGACTGTTTACTTTCCTTAACCATCTTTATTATATCAAAGAACTCGAGAACAACCTTGTCTAGGTGAAATGGTAAGTACTAGGATTATATATATTAGGTAGGTTATGAAGGAACAGCTGAATTTAGTTGATGTGTTGTCTACTGCAGAATTCAGCTTTCACAATCAAAGTTTGTGTCTTTGGCTAGGTTGTTGTATATGATTGGTTTTTAGTCAAGCCCACATATATATATGGCTGTCTAAGGTTGCTTGGATTTCACAAAATAATTGTACGGTTTGGAGGATCTAAGTATCGTACAGAAAAGAAAGTATTTTTGGTAGGTAAACTTAGGTCTCACTTGACATGAAGATTTTGCATTTTATATATGTCACTAATGGCTTTAACAAAGGTGGTGAAAAGGTCATATGCACATGACCTGAAATCCAACATTGACATCTCCACAAACTAAAACCATAACATCATTAGTTCGTGGGTTTAGATTTATTATACATATCCTCTTTCACCAGATTTCATATAGTATTCAAGATAAATAATCTTTTCCATCTGCAACGTCATGAGAGGATAAGAAAAATTGAAATATATATCATGTGCCCTCTTCATGCTCCTTTTTACGTTCATTGGCTAGACGTCTGGTTGCATGTCCTAGGTCCAAAAATGATCTACTACGTATCGTTGCTTAGCTTATGCTAAACAACAGCCACATGACATATCGATTAATTGGTTAATAAGTTAATGGTGGGACCAAAGAATGGAAATACTTGATAGTTACTGTCCTACATGGTGCGATCGTTCAATGAGGAGCTGTCATCTCATCGAATGGCCAAGTTTATCTAACTAGGTGAGGTCACCTTGGAACTTGAGTTGGAAAGAGAGAGAAACTCAAGTCCCGATGTGTTCTCATCCCATTGGGCGAGGCTGGCCCATCCAATGAGATGATGATTCTTCATTGGACTGTTGCACCTCCTAAAATAGTACCTACCCAAGTATTTATGATTTCATGATCATCCGCTTGAATTAAATTACATTCACTTAGTCAAATCCCAAAGTCAAGTATTAAATAAATTTATTCTCGAGCATATAACATCACTACACATTTCAATGTTTAATCATATATGCTAGCTAGGTTTTGCTCAATGAATCATGAACGGGTTCGGAACCCTATACAAGGGGTTGGTCTCGATCTACATTGGTGATAGCCCTCTTAGATGATTGTTGGCCGAAAACCATCACAAGAATCAAGTAATAAATTGTCAAGACTAATTTCACAATCCAGTCAGTCTCTCGGAGTTTTTGAAGAGGTGAAACCAGAAACAAAATATCCTCATTTATCCTCACGTTTAATTATTATTATTTTTTTAAATATCATTTGAATTAAAAAATAAAAAGATCCGGGGTGAGTTCGAAGAATGCATGAAGAGGACCATGTCCCCGTCCTCGAATAGGGTCGATGGGGAACGGAAAATTTTGTCATCTCAAGTTCCTCTTTTTCTGAATATGTTCATGGTGTCAATGATTAACCGTCAGAAGAGCCTTAATTACTTTAGATTCAAACTTGCTTAGAGCAAAATGACCTAAATTTAGGTTATTCTCCAAATTAAAAACAAATCGACCTAATTCTTTGTGTGTATGTGGTTGGGTGGGGCGGGGGGGGGGGTTGTCACATTCTATTATAACAACCCACAATCCCACAATTCTACTAGATCAATCACAATAAAATAAAGCATTTACATTATAATTAATTTGTGAAAATTAGGTCGTGAATGAAAATCCACCAATCTTTTTGCATACTTTTCCCAATTGGTTTGACCAAAATTAAATTTAACAACAAATTGTACCGACATTAATTATAAAAAAAGAAAAAAATTCAAATGCGCGCATCACTTGAAAAAAGTTAAAAATGAACGTAGCTATAATATTTGAAAAGCTGCCTCAACTATCACATAAAAACGTAGTGTGCTTATAATGCTTCCATTTCTAACAATGTCTATATGTTAAATTGAAAAAGATTTATTAGAAAATTGTCCCTTGTTCTTAAATATTTTCATATTGAATAGTACGAAACAATTAATAATAAAATTTCAATTTTTATATTATCTATAGTACCGCTAAGTTATTCATAACAAATGGTGTGGGTGTGGCCGAATCTGGTGGCGATCTGACTGTGCATGACGGGATCTGTAGACTGTAGTAGTTGCGATCCGACTGTGAATGATGGGTGCTTGGCCGGATCTGGTGGCGCCACAATGGTAAGATGGGGTTGGGGATGGCGGGGCAACGCGGTGGCGGTGACAGTGGAGATGGTACGGTGGTTGGGTGAGTTATGTGATACTATAGGTGTGGCGGCGGTGATTCTATGATGTCGTGGTTGTGGTGCAATGAGTTGTGTGATGCTATGGGCGTGGCAGTAGCAATGGTGTTACTATAATGCTGTGGGTGTGGCGGTGTTTGGTGGCGTTATATGATTGATATGGTGTTGAGATGGTGGTCACAAGTGTCGATGATGGTCACAAATGATTTGATTGACTGTGACCATTAAATTGGTTAATAAATAATATGTGACCAATAAAAAAGTTGTGACCAAAAAATAATATGTGATCTAAAATTTTGTTAATTTGTGACCAATAATTTGATAGTTTTTAACTTTAAAATAAATTGTGACCTAATTTTTTTTTATTTGTCATCGATGAACAAATTGTGACCTATGGAATTTTTAATCCGTGATCATTAAATAATTTGTGACTTATAAAATTTTTGATTCGTGATCGAAAAATAATATATAATTAACTAAATCGTTGATTTGTGACCAAATTATATAGATATATGACCTTAATAAATTAAATTAATTAAATCATAACTAAATTTTAATAAAAATCTGATCTTTGAAATAGATGATACTGAATCTCTTATGAATTTTTTCCTTGAAAGTATTACATACTCTAACAAGGCCTAAAACTTTTACTACGTCATGGTCCAAATTCTCACAAGGACACTATCACCTTAAAAGTAGGGATGACATAATGTTTGAGGCATATACGGAAAATACGGTCCTCATAGCAAACCTGTCCTAACTATTATTTCGTTTTGTTTAATTTTTTATGTTTCTAAATTTGAAATATAGTAATAAATAAATAATAAATACATAAACAAGGTGGGAGGTGGGAATTTTTTTATGCAATGCCCTATGAGTGCATAATTTATCCCATGTCTAACAAAGAATGAGACATTGTTCAATATCTCCCCAAGTATTAAAGAAGAAAACCATACAATTCAGTACAATTTGATAATATGTATCAAACATACTAACTACATGTTTGGTGAACAAGATTGAATTATAGTAATAAACACTATCAAAGAAAAATAAATTAATTAATATATTGTTCATCATACTATTCAGTGAGTATTATAAAATACTGCGTACAATATGCGTAATAAGATCATAATATTGAAAAAATGTATAGTGGCAAATTTACTTTATAGGTGGGTGGATTACAGTATAAATTAATGGCAGTGCATGAAGTGTAGCATATTACACGTAGAAATACACTAGCACACACATTTTTATCTTCTCGTACAAGGTTTTTCTTTGTTGGCCTAACTTGCAGACATTTGCATGTCATGCATGCTTGACACGAATTAGTTCTTTTCGGGCATTACTTTGAACAATCATGCTACATAACCAGAGTCAGTGACATAATTTCATTTCTAGACAACACTTGTTAGATTCTCATTGAAAATTAGGGGAAAAAACAACATAAAAACACTTAATCATAGACTTGGCATCAGTCTATTTTTTCCCCTTGTTTGTTCAGCATTATTCTACTTTGAAACATCGAGATGTTGTCTTCTCTTCATTATTCAAAAGTTTAAACTATTTCAATTTATGATGATAGTCTATATTTTTTCCTTTCTTACTGTTAAAGACCTGAGATGTCTATTATAATTTTATAGTTGAAAGCAACAATATTTGAATTCGAGAAAATACGAATTATTCAATTTTTAAGTTTAACCAAACATGTTATTTGTGAAAGTACTGAATGGTCGAGAGATTGTACTATATTGCTAGTGGAAGTTTTTTATTTATTCTTAAATAACGTAAAAATTTATAGTTTCTTTTTTATCATCATTATCACTAATTTTATTTTTCCACTTATTTTGCCTTTATGGCCACTTTCATTTTGTTACACAACAAATTGCACATACTTTATGCGATTTAATATTCTAGTTTAGATATTTTGCTTCAAATAGTGAACTTTAATTTCAATTGGACAACAACTTTTAAAATCTTGCAGATTTTGTATCATAATTGTTGTCAATTTTATTTCGGTAAGCATACGGATCGGAACAAGTAATAAGTGGTCCTAAGAGTTCAGATTGTTGATCCTACGAGGACTATACTCTAGCACTTAATTCAATTTTTTTCTAACCATTATTTGATGAAAACAAATAAAATTTTGTAGGATTTGAGTTTTAATCTAAATGCTAGAAAATAAATGGATGCGCACATGATTGATTTGAAAACCAAATAATAAAATGACGTTAGGGCGGAACAACTTCACCTCTTGATTATCTTTGCATCTCAAATTAAGATTCACATCTAATGTAGTGTTCGGTCGAATTTTTCTATTGTATTCAATTTGCCTCTCTCGAATTCTCATTGAGCCTATTTAACTAATTAAATTACATATCTCTATGCAAATTCAACTTAGTTAAACGAGTTTTTTGTCCTAAGAATTCAATTATGACCGCAACAATTAGTATTTGCATCTCTACTTGTTATACCAATTTACCAGATTTTACTATGTGGTCTTAATCCTAAACGCATATCTCTATTCGTAAAAAATTCACGAAATCATCAAATCATTAATCAGGTAATTTAATGCATTCAATTCATAGTAAAATCAACACATGGAACTATAAAAATCTAGAATTTTAATGAGAAAATATAAAGGATCTCAATTGGTTACATTATTCGCCCTAACAATAAATTTAACTATTCATAATAAAAAGGGAAATTCATTAATCGTCATAGAATATATCGCCGGATTTTGTATTAAAAATATAGAAGAAAAAGTAGATCTTGCACCAAGAATCTCTTCCTCTTGCAATTGATGCTCCACACAGTGAATTTTTCGATGTTTTTCTCTCTTGAAATCTTTTTTTAATTCTCCAATGGTGTTTCTTGCCTCCCAATGTGTAGAATACCCCTAAAGTCTGAGAAAAATTGATTTTCATATGTGCCTTGTCATGGGTAGAAGGTAGGGTTTTCATCTAAACTCCAACATAGGCCGAAATTCCGCTTAGGTTACGG